TATATATATATATATATGCTTAGAAATGGAAGTCTTCCCTACCTCAACGACTTTTCCTCTCTGTAGGCTGTCTTCTTAGACCTTGCCAGCTAATCTAGTACACAGCAGGAGCTCAGTTTGTACAAAAAGCGCTCAAATAGCCTATTTCTGCTAAAGTATGCTGCTTCTATTTGTAGGTTGTGCACCTCGCAAGTAGAGGCTGTGCCTCTGTTATTGGCTAGGATCACTTTGCAGGGAGGCTTGGACTTCTACAAAGGAGGTGGCACCTGCTAGGATGTGAATAAAGGGCACGGAGGGCTTCGGACAGCTGAAATTCAAAGGACAGGCCATGAGTTACCAAATGGAGCCGAGAGGAAAGCTGGGGCAGCCGTACTGCATTTGGGTGCCAAGGCAGGCAGTGACCCCCCCCGCATTCCTGGGTGGGGGAAAGTTTGGTGGAGCTGCACTTGAAAGGTAACTGGGGTTGGATCTATGTTTTCACAACTCACCCTGTTTTAGTATATGTGCTGCCGAAGCGAGCACTCACAACTCACCCTGACCACACTGGAGTTGCTTCCAGTCTTGCAGCTGAGAGTGTGTGAGATTGCTGGTTGCCTGGAGAGTAGGGCACATTACATACAAAAGGCACGAACCTCTGCTCCCTGGAACCAAAGCCTACGGTACTCTGCGCTATCTGGCACACTGTTTAGGCTCGAAGCCCTTTTTCTCTCTCCTTTCGGTCCTTGGTTGTTGCCCTTTCCCTTCGTCATCAGAACACGCTGTAGGGGCCGGGGAGATGGCTCAGTGGAATAAGTGCTTGCCTGGCAAGCACAAGGGCCTGCGTTCAATCCCTGGCTCCGCAAAAAAAAAAAAAAAAAAAAGAACTGGCTCCGCAAAAAAAAAAAAAAAAAAAAAAGCAAGCCACAGAACACGCTGTATGCCTTTTCGAGATAATTAGTTTCCCCTAAACGGAGGGGATTGTTTCTGGGCTCCCCCTTTGAGGCCTGCATTTTGATGGTACAGGTTTAATCAAGCAGGGGCTCGACAGAGGTTTCATCCATCACACCCCAATTAAATCAAACCGCCTACACACCAGTAAAGGCTCAGACACATCCTGACAGACGAGGGCCGCCAGGGTACCGGGAACTACCAACCAGAGGCGCACCTAGCTGGCCCGCAGCCCACTCCCACATCCTTCCCGGTTAAGGAGCCCACCAGCCCTCGGGGAAGTAGGACGCAGCCCGCGGGTGGCCTTTGCTGCGCCTGCCCCGCGGCCGCAGCCGTGGGCGGGGCCTCCCGTTTGGCAGCCAGGGCTAGTCGGCCGGCCTGGCTCCGCCCCTCGGGGAAGAGGGCGGGGCCTCCCGCCGGGCAGCCCGGAGTCCGCGGCAAGCTTGGCTCCGCCCCTCGGGGAGGAGGGCGGGGCTCGGGGCGCCTGCGCGCCGCTGGGGCGCGAGCCAGCTTTGGAGCTGCCGAGCCAGGCGCTGGAGAGCGGCTCAGGGCGGCGGCGGGAGCAGGGTTGGCGCGATGGCTCCCGCGTTGGAACGGCAGGGCTACTGGGGCCCCACGACGTCCACGCTAGACTGGTGTGAGCAGAACTACGCTGTGACCCCGTACATCGCCGAGTTCTGTGAGTGTGGCCTGAGGCCGGCGCTAGGGCACCGAGCTGTGCGGAGACGCGGTGTGGAGGAGGCGGCGGAGGGCGAACTTGGCCTCGAGGGCAGGCGCCAGGCCGGCCGGGGGCGGAGAGGGGCGCGCTGGGCCGCGGGCACCTAGGGGCGGACGCGGCGTCCGGGTGTCAAGTGAGGACTACGGGGCTCGGCGCTGGCGGCGGGGGCCTTCATGTTGGGGCGGAGCGGCGGTGGGGAGCCGCTGCTGGACCTGAGGGGAAAGCGGAGGAGCCGGGCCGCGAACAGGACTTGCTACCTGGCGGCCAGGCGGGGCCGGCGGCGGGGAGCGTGCGGCCGCCACAGAACGAGGGCACGCGACACCTGCCTTGCTGCGGCCGCCGCCACTGCCCCTCCCGGAGGGCTCGGCAGAAGGGGGTGCTTCTGAGGGCATCAGGGCGCTGCGGTCTTTCTCTGCCGCCCCGTGCTTACGAGACCTTCTCGCTTGCTTCAGGGCAGTTACCGTTTCTGAGGTTCGACACCCCCGCCTATTCCCGCGTCTTCAGGTAACAGACAGAGATCCTCTGAGTAAGCCTAGCCAACTGTCAGTTTGCACCAGAAGTAGAAGGCAGCCCCTGATCTACCTTCTTCCTCGTGCCAGGCCTCCTAGAGCAGGAGAGACCTCGTCCCCGCGCCTGCTATGCTGTCTTATCTGACTTCCTAGGAGTTAATGATCCTCTGAGGACACATTCTTCCAGAATGCACTTTCTGAGTACTTAAGGTTCTACATCTAGTTACTGTCCTGACAGGCAGGCATTGCTGGCCTGGCCAGATCTGGGGTGTATGTCTGGTGGGGGCGGGTGTTCCTAGGTCGTTGTTCCTTCAAAGGTAGGAGAAATCTGCCCCTTCTTTTTCTGTTGTAACTTTGGTCAAGTTTTGAAAGCATGATGTTTGATCTGACTTTAAGGTACCTGCTTCTGAGATTTAGAGAACATTCTTTGGCTCTTACTGCTTTCTTTTAAATGGACCCACTTTCATAGGACATGATGCAAAACTTTTTTTAAACTTTCCCATTGTTGAATCCTCCTCCAATCTATGTGTGTTTGGTTTGATAGAAAAGAGGTAAGAGTTTTATGCCAAATAATCCTACTTTATTGTGTTCTAGTAGTTGGCCAAGTTGAAAAAACACAACAGAACTCTTTTTTTTTTTTTTGTGGCAGAACCGGAGATTGAACTCAGGCCCTTGCACTTGCCAGGGAAGTGCTTATTCCACTGAGCCATCTCCCCACCCCTCAGAGCTCTTTTTGTAGCACTCTTAATACCATTCTCTTGAGACTATGATTTAGACTGAGAGTCACTTTTTCTGAGCTGCTACTTTAAATTAATTTTATATATTAGTGGAGAAATATAAGCAAAAGGATCATTTATAGTGTGAGTACTTCGCAGTCTGAATATTGGCAAAGGAGGTACTTTTATCAATTGGTTGTTTTTTTTTTTATAAAATTTTATTTATGTGTGTGTGTGTGTGTGTGTGTGTGGCCAGCTCAGCCCACCAGGGGTGGGGCTGACTGGCATGTGGTGCTGGGGGATTGAACCGCGGTCCCTGTGCTTTAGTTAAGCTTGTTCTAAGTAGGTGCTTTAGACCACTGAGCCATCTCACCAGCCCCTATCAATTGGTTGTTAAATCACTTTGACAAGTCCACACCTAGTCCAGAGAAACATGACCATGAGGGAGAGGGCTTAAAATCATGTTGTCTGAGCTGGTGTTATGGTTTGTGTCTAGGTGTCCCCCCAAAGCCTCACGCAGTCTTGGGGTGGCTTCTGGAGTTTGTGATTGATTACTGTGGTTGTGGATGCTGCCCCTGCCCTGGGGTAGGTAATTTGCATTACAATGTAAGGTGGGAAGAGAAGCTAGCTGCCTGAGCTGCTGCTACCCCTCCCTTGTGCTCTTGCTCTTTGCCTCCACCATGAAAGGTTGCTTTCTGCTGTGTGCTGCTCTGCCTTGGAGCCAGCTGAGTGTGGACTGAAGCCTCCAGTAACTGTGAGCTAACTAAACCTTTCCTTCCTTCATTTTGAGTGTCTGGTATTTGTCCCAGCAATGAGAGAAGAGTAGCTAAGACAGCTGGAAATATATAACTTTTTCTTCTTACTTAATAGTCTTCAAATATTGAATAGGCTATCATAAAAGTAGTTAACTTTCTCAGTTTCACTAGAATCTGGAAGTTCTCTAGAAGATTCCCAGCTTCTCTAAAAGCTGTAGGTGGGGGGCCTGCCCCTTAGCTCAGTTCTTAAGTGGCTGCTTCAACAAAGCAGTCAGGCTCAGGTTGCTGTGGTTCGATCCCCACAACACAAGACAGCCAGTCATGCCTTGAAGGCATTCGGAGCAAAAAAAAAAAAAACACTTCTGCCATTTGGGCTGGTGAGATGGCTCAGTGGTCTAAAGCACCTACTTAGAACAAACTAAGCTAAGCAAAGCACAGGGACTGTGGTTCAATCGCCAGCACCACATGCCAGCCAGCCCCGCCCCCTGGTGGGCTGAACTGGCCACACACACACACAAAATGCATAACTAAATAAATAAAATTTTAAAAGCTGTAGGTGGAGGAAATTAATTGTAAGGGAAGTTTTGCTTCAGTATAAGGAAAAGCTTTCTAATCAGTGATGATATCATGGAACAGGTTAGCTTGAGTGTTACGCAGGCTTTCTATCACCAAAAGCATTAGAGTAGACATTGCTCAATATATGAGGAATTAATTGTTTAGTAGGGAAAAGGAATGTGCCATAGTTGGTCTTAGATGCTTTGCAGCTTTATCAGTCTACATAGGTAATAATGACCCAGTTTAGGACCAAAATTTTGGATTAGAATCAAAAGAGAAAACTGGCAGTTGAGTCATGTGAACTACAAGAGAGCAAGATACTAGTGTTCTGACAGATAGCTCTGAGAAATGGGAAATGGCTTTAGTTCTCAGTGTCCTTAGAAGAGGAACTCTGAGAAGACTACAGAAGACTTTTTAACATAGGAATCAGAGGAGTTGCAGGAACAGAGTGAATATGTTGGCAGACCTTTGTGCATGTACTTGGGACAAAATGATCTAGAGGAAGTTGAGGTCAGGTTGTCTAACCATAGCAGGTAGTGGGTGTCTATAATGACTTAGAGGAAAAGAATTTGATAGTTGAAAAATACTCTGATTATATGCTTAAAGTGTATTTTTTAAAAATGGAGGTTAATTGTTGTTAATGATAGTATTAATAATAGTTATATTAAGGCTAATAATTATTATCTAAGTGCTGTGTACCACAATTTGCTAATCCTTTCACATGTCTTATCTCATTTGATCTTTGCAGTAATTTCAAAAAGAAAGTATTATTATTTATTTATTTATTTTTTCTTTCAGAACCAGGGATTGAACTCAGGCCCTGCACTTGCCAGGGAAGCGCTTATTCCACAGAGCCATCTCCCCAGTCCCACAAAAAGAAAGTATTATTAGTCCCATTTCACAGACTGAGGTTGTAATAAGTGGTATAGAGATAGTATTAGCTGATGCTGAAGTCCTATATTGCTTCCCTGTCATTAATTTTACCATGTATTCATTGTTTTCCCTTTGTGTTCAGGGAATGAGGGACAAAAAGGATCCTGAAATCCTGCACTATCACAGCAGACAAATTGAATAACTCTTCAAGTTATTCAACCATCTTTCATCATTAAGTTGTATATATTTTAATGAATGAGTGAGGAATTAAGTGTTCAGATATGTCTGGGTTTTTTTTTGTCACTTTCAGCACCTGAAAAATCTTTTTAGTATCACTCAACATCAATTGAAATTCATTTTTGTTTGAGCAGATTGTAAGAACCAGGGGAAAGGATAGAATTACGAAATAATAGCTTTTTGTTGTGTCAGAAGTTACAGATACAGGCAGTCTTCATTTTGTTTGGTATTGTGGGACTCACACAAATTACCCCACTGGTTAAAAAGCAGGCAGAGCCATCTTAATTACTAGAAAAAGTTAGAATTATTTTGTGACCTTTAAAAATTTCTGTCAAACTAAACCTCTTAAAGTTGGTTACAGATATTTTAAATATCAAAAATTGCAGTGTTTTACTTCTTTGTAAAATAACTTACAAAAACAACTTGAACAGTGCTTTCCATCTTATCAAATAGTTTATGGCATAGGAGAAGTATCTTCCCTGTGCCTTGGCAAATGTTAGCTAAGTTTGGATCAGCTTTCAACATTTTATTCTCTGTACTTTCAATATTGTGAAATATCTCTAAGTTCCTTTAATTTGGAGGGTTTTGCCAGTATCACTTCTTCTGGGACAACATCTTTTTTGTCACAATTGCTGTGTTCATTTATGTTGGTAAGTTTATCTTCATTCAATCTCAAGCTGCATTTCTGGAGTCTCAAGAGATAACAGTATCACTGTTTCCATGGTCAGCTACTTCTTCTAAAATTCTGTATACATTTGTTAGAATTTTGTATCCAACATTATCATTTTTTGTTCTCTGCTGTCCTTTTATTACTGTTTATCGGTTTCCACTTTCTAGTATTTATTTTGTGAAATGTTTTTTAAGTTTATCACCAGGAGACAGAGGCAGTTAAACTCCATGTTTTGTTCCCTGTACATGAACTAAATAACAGATATATAAGGACTAATCAGTAACAGACTTTGTCAGAAGTGAGTTGGTTGACCACTTTTATTTATTTATTCCAGTACTAGAGATTGAACTCATGACCTTGCACTTGTCAGGCAAGTGCTTATTCTACTGAGCTATCTCCCCAGCCTGGTTGACCACTTATTTGATATTCTGTTGTTCCAGTAATGATTTGGGGACTGAAGATCTAGCAGTAAAATTTTCAAACAAAGCAAAATGGAACAAAATAAGGCCAAAAATATAATGTTAGCTGCAATTGAGTTGAATTGTATTGTTAAGGGATTGACAATATTTAAACTGTGAGAACTGAAATTTTTGTGAGTTGGAAGCCAGCAAAGCGAAGGCTGCCTTTGTATTAATAACAACCCTCA